AGTATAAAAACATAAAATGACCTAACAATTTATACGCATAATTCACGCATAATCACGTTTATGCGTAGTCTAATTCACGAAATCATTTCATAAATCTGAGTAAAAACTCAGTGCATACACTCCATTTCACGTATAATTGAAATCACGAAATGGTGTTCATGCACTCAGTTTCTACTCAAACGCACGAAATAATTTCATGAATTGGTATGACAGTATGAATTACAACAAACACATCATTTTGACATAATGCAAGCCCTAAACACTGCGACCGTTGCTTCAGATCGATCCGAAATCAAGTTGGACGTTTTGCCCACAAATGTTGCAATTTTGCATGCAATCTCATTGCAAAAACCAGAGGTCGAAAATAACCGTCAACACTTTGAAAGTGTCCCAAAATAACCGTTACTATTTAAGGGAAAAAATAACCCACAAAACAGAACAGGTGGTTTATTTTTTGTAGATGTGTGCTCCTCTCAGTGGGAAAGGGTTATTTTGCATATAATTTACGTTGCTGTTGGACACGGACACTTATCGCTGGAAGAAGAAAAATAAGTGTTAGAAGTGCGTAGAAACATATCAAATTTGCTGTTGATAGAGAGATAGAGAGATATAAGCAACGTCAACGTCACGGTCATGTTATTGATTTAAAATCCGTTATCAATTAAGAAATTATTATTATGATTTAGTTTGTTGACCAAATAAAAAATTAAATTTATTTGTAATTTGATTTTTCAACCAAATAAGAAATACAAATTTTTTATTTGATTTGTAGAGCAAATCAATTTGATTTGTAATTTTTCAATTAAATAACGCTTTTGTTATGCGACGCAAATAAGATATTTAAGAATCTTCCAACTTCCAGTTCCACGAAAATCTTCGGGATCCTTGGGACTAATTCGAGATTTTCGAGACTTCTTCAGGATTTTCGGAATCTTCGGGACTACTTCGGGATTTTTGGGCTATTTCGGGACTCTCGGGACTAATTCGGGCATTTTCGAGACTACTTTGAGATTTTCGGGATCCGCGGCACTAATTCGGAATTTTCGAGACTTCTTCAGGATTTTCGGAATCTTCGGGACTACTACGGGATTTTTGGGCTATTTCGAGATTCTCGGGACTACTGCGGGATTTTCGAGACTACTTTGAGATTTTCGGGATCTTTTCTTCATATTTATCTTTATCATCTTCATGTTTATCAATTTCTACATTACATGTTCCCCTTCACCTTTGCCCTTATATTGGTAAAATTTTTAAATTTACCTTGGTCTTCATTTTTGCATTTATCTTTACGCATCTTTGTTTTTATTTTTACCTTTGCCTATATCCTTTTCTTTATCAATAAAATAAAATAGCTTATTTTCGGTGTATCATATTAAGAATGTGCACGCTCTCTTCTTTGTCATAAATGTTCGCACATGTATGTGTACGTATATGTCGTGTAAAGAATTGCCTAGCGCCTTGCTTCCACTTATTACACCCACTTATATTTTTCAGTCCTATAATAACCCACAAATTAAGACACTTAAAAATAAAAGTCCCTGCCAAAGTGTTTTTGTTCAAGGGAAATTTTAGCAGTTAATAAATAACCCACAACGGAAAACACAAAAAGATCGCACAGAGTGATTTGCCACGGTGAGAAACACTCTTTGCTTGAGAGACGAGTGTTTGTGTCAGTGGTAAACACCATACGGGACACTTGGTGATGGTTATTTTCGATCTCCGGTTTTATTACTAGGCATTACGCATGGGGCCTTATTCATTTTGGTTTTTAGCCTGTTCTGTTGCTGATTGCGGGTTGGATACCACTTCAATAAAGTGAGCAACACATCTTCGAGACATGATGGGTTGGACCTGGTTCTCATGTAAACACTTGATGTGACGATCGTTTTCTTTGTAGCGAGGTCAGAAAATGCACGTATTACTTTTGTATTTGGATTTGTGATTGTCACATTAATTTCATTTTGGGTTTGCTGACTCTTTGGTGTATTAAGTCCAGTAGCGTGACACTGGGAGGGTGGGTTAGAACTGATCCTGAAATAACCAATTGAGGCGGAGTTGGTCTGCTGGGTAATTTTCCTCTCTCAATAAACATTGGGCTTGGTTAGCAATTCGAAAATGATTGGAAAACCAATCTTTTTTTCGAGTCTTACCTTCCATAACGAATGTGCAATAGGTTAGCATTCGATTCGAAAAATAAGCCATTCTCCAGCAAAACGGCACCTTCGTTATCCAATGTATTTTCCCTTCGTTATGAATTCGAAATCCAGCTCATTATCGAATTGAAATTTTATTGTGAGAGAGCGATTGGCTTATATTTTCCTTCGAGAATGAGCTGGATTTCACTTTCTCTCTTGTTACTATGGTTTTAATTTTTTTTCGAACCCATTTCGAGTGTATTTCAAATTTACTCTGAACGTTGGAAAACCAAGGTTGGTTATGAGTTCGTTCTCAGTTCGATATGCACATTGGATATCGAAGGTACTTTTCGAACGTTCGCCAAAATGTTTATAGGGCTGCTTCTGAATTCGCAGCGCTTGTATTTTACTCCACCCAGTAGGAGTGAGTAGTGTGATAGAACTGGTGCTTGGGTGATCAGTTTGAAGTGCCTTCAAGGATCGGTTTATGTGATGGCAATGCGGAGGTTTGTGCTTGTTCTCGTGGGGATTGTGTATTCACAGGATGATTAGTTGAGTAATTTCTTTCCGTTGCGACTGGGATGTTGGATCAGGAACACGTTTTGGAGAAACCAAGGCTGGGAGATGCAAAGCCATAAAAAGTATTTTTTTCCGCTGAATTCATTCCCGTTGTCTTGAGTGAATAATACCAATTAGGCTTATCATCCGCATAGCGCTGTGAACATACCATAAGTTATATGTTTTCAATGTATGATGGGTCTGGGGATTTAGAGTGAGTGTTTGGCAATGAGGACCTGTTACTAAGAGTCGCAGTTGTTGTTTGGCCTCTTCTTAGAAATTTCACCCAACGGAGATGTCAGCCCGATGAGAAAAGAGCTCATGTCTTCAACACTTGATAAATGTGCCGAGTTTGGTAGAAATCGATAAACCGGTTACCGAGATACACATATGTAGGCGTAACTGGGCGGTGCCACACCCAAAAACAAAAACCTAATTATAATTTCCTTCTAAGAGGTCATTGCATATATCGATTTTAAAAAATTATCTTAAATAGTTACTAATTTATAGCAGTTTTCGTATTTCTGTAAATTGCTGTTATATAGGAGGTGGGCCTGGCTATTACCCGACTTAAAAGATTTTCAACGAGTTTCTTAGCCAAGCCCTAGGTAATATTCGCACCAAGTTTGGTGGCGATTGGTAAAGGGACTACAGAGATACAGGATTTTATCATAACCGGTCGGGGCCACGCACATTTTCCAAAAATTTCATAACTGTCTTATTTTATGCCAAAATTCTACTTCGCGTACCAACTTTCAATAACTTGGAAGCGGAAATATCGTAGTTTTTGCATATTTCGAAAATACCGTTATATGGGAGGTGGGCGTGGTTATTGTCCGATTTGCCCATTTTCAATCCCAACGTACCTACTTACCAAATTTTGTTGACATATCTCAATTTTTTCTCGAGTTATCGTGTACACGAACAGGCGGACATGGCTTAATCGATTTCTCTTTTCATTCTGAGCATTTATGTGTACATTTGTCTATATCTATCTTGATTCGTTTTGGCTGTTACAAACAACCGTTATGCGAAAAAAGTTCCATTTCATTTAATTTCATTTATTGAACATTTTTGCTTATATCTACATATATTAGTTACAGTTGTTAATAAATGTAACTCAAACAAATATTTCTAATTACATAACGACATTAATTCAGATATAAAAAAATAAGGCATTTTGTATATTAAAATTAACATATAGGGGATTCACAAGATGTTTTAAGCGTTGTAAAATCTTAAAATCGTAAAATTTTACAAGGGTTTAAAAATTTTGTTGTTGTCTTGCATAGATACAAGATATTAAAATAATACAACTCCGCATGTTATGTGTTCAGTGCGTTATAACTGATCAGCTGATTTCTGTTTACCTCATTGTGCTTGTGAACTTTAATATTTAAACAAATGCAGAGCGTTAGTGAAATAGAGGTAAATTAATGCACATGCATATGTAGATACTGATGTTGAATTACTCTTACAAAATGAATTTTCAGGCAAAGACAAAGCGGGTGCTCTGCAATCCTACAAAGAAGTGGGCAGTGGCGGAAGAAAAGGCTTTGGTGGAATTCTTGTTGGCAAATAGAGATTTTGAGGTTGGTTGTTTGAAAAATGAAATTCTAGACCTTTAAAACTCTCTAAATTTTGTTTTAGAGACCGGCAGCTGTCAATTCAGTCAGAACTGGTACAGCTAAAAAAGCATAAAATAGACCAGGACATGATTTTCAGGGGGGAAGGAGATACAGATTAGGGAAAGGGAATTAGTGCTAAAAGAAAGGGAAGTAGAATTAAAAGAAAAGCAAGAAATCAAAATTATGGAATTAGAAATGAAGGAAAGATTGGCGATGGGGGAATTTAAGCGTAAATAAAAATAAGACCGAACAAACTTTCTGAAAAAGTGCACAAGTATAAAGTTAAAAAAAAGAAAATTAAGGTTATAATAACCCTTTCAGACCTAGCCATACTAATTGTGAGATCTGTTTCTATTTGTCTTAAATTATATGAATAAATAAATTTTCTTGTGTTAACCGGGAAGCTGTGAATGTGCGTACTCCTTTTCGTTTGAAATGAAAGAAAAAATGAACACTTCGATGGTTGAGTTGAAGATCGACCTCTCTCGGCAGCCAGTTCGAAAACGCCCTATCTCAGAAAATTTTTCAACAACGCCCTATTTCAGAATCCACAGAGATTGACAGAAAACGTTCAGGATGCTTCGCGAGGGGACAATTTAAAAATATTTTTGCATCATGAACACTCCCAGGATATCTTATAGTGACTTGTCTAATTCGTAATTTGTAGTCACATATATTTTTACGTGAGAAAAAAAAGTTCCTGCTTCTTGATGGGGGCTTCAGCTAATCTTATTTCGGAACCATCGATGTATCCTACGCATTCTGGGATTTCTTGCTTTGTTGTGTAAATACGTTCCAGCCTTTCTCTCTGATTTGGCCAATATATAAATTTCTTCTTTAACCTCAGTATAGCTTTGAATACACGCCTGGTAACGTTTTGAATAGTGCCCCCATCGCCTATTCCAAACAAAAAGACAACCTTGCGTATAGATACCCCATCTCCGGAAGATCCTAGTCTATATAGCACTATTTTTAGTTGCAAATCTATAGGAATCTGTGCTACGCTACGACTTGTATGAAAGACAGGATCGTCTTTTATACAATCCAAGATGTATCTGAATTCGTCTGGACGAACACGAACCATTTCGTTGAACCTTTTTTCATCAAAATTTGCTAGTACGTTATGCTGCCAATCGGATGATTTTGGCATTCCAAAGTGTACACTTCTACGGCTGTTTAATAAGCATAGCATACTCAGCGAACAAATTTCATTAAGTTCATCTGCGTCTTCTTCGTCGCCTTTATAAAAGTTGTACACATGTAGTAAAAACAAATATTTAAAATAATAAACTCAACTTACTTGAGTCAAGGAATATCAGGTTTAATGCTTGATTCTTGCAAAGGGCGTCGATTATTTTATGTTTTCCACTCCGCTTTGGCATTTTGGCTGCGAAATATTTTTTATTTATTTAAAGCAGCTGATTAGGAATTATTTATTACATAATAGTTATAAAGGGGTGTTCACAACTGTGGTAATTTTCTAATATTTCCTTAGGACTTATAACTTTAAGAGACTATTGTGAATCCCCTGATAGTATTAAATGCCATCTGTAGTGAAGTTATAAATACAGTGGGGTGGCGTTAAAATTACAATATAAAGCAGAAGAAAAAAAAAATTTATAAACTGCGAATAGCATTCAATAAAATCGAAAAATTATTGACATACACAAGTACGAGCCGAAAGATGAACATCAAACGGAATTTTAAAAGCAACAAATTGTAGGTATTGGTCCGTAGCAGAACTTCGACTTCATTGTATGAAAGGTTCAGAAGGAAGGATTTCACATTTTTCAGAAAATTTTGAAGAATTCTTATGTCGCGCATACTGGCAGGTAGTGCATTAAATAGTTTACGAGATACTATTGTATAAAATCTGCAAGAATGAGTAGTTCGCGAAGACGGGACAGCAACACGAGGGTATGAGTTTTTCCTCAGATAATAGTTGTCCGATTTGACACTATGTAGGTACCCGCATCTAATGTAAAAATTTTAAAAACTTTGAAATAATATAGGTCTCTCACTGGAAGAAGTTTCAGATTTCTAAAGAATTCTCTGGAGGAATGCAGATGATTCGGGTTACATAATTTCCTAACAACGGATTTCTGCAAGGTCAGTAGAGCTTGAATTTTGTTTAAGGGGCGCCTCCCCAACAGCTGATCCCATATGATAATTTAGAATTATAACGCATAGTAAACTGTTTTAAGAGTATTATTAGAGAAATATTTTCTAAGTTGATAAAAGCAACGTAATGCCGATTGAAGATATTGTTTTAAACGGGATATGTGGTTACACCAATTCAAGTTTTGGTCAATGGATACACCGATATATTGGAAGTCATCCATTATCTCAATCACAAAACAGTTGTTACGCAAGGGAATCGAAAGTACCAGATTTACCTCAGGACACAAATGCCTATGTAATATAAGTCGATCGCAGTCCGAAGAATGAAAGGTAATTTTCACATCTGGTGATTTCCTCGCATTCAGGCTAAAATAAATTAATTTGGTTTTACTGCTAACAACGAGCAGAAGATAAACGTCATGATTTAGACTATCTACCAGTTCAAATGAATTTGTTGAACTATATGCAAGTGCAAGATCATCAGCAAATGCAGTGACCTTTCCTATGAATGGCAGATCAAAAATTGAATTTATATAGACCAGGAATAGGATCGGACCCAGCACGGAACCTTATGAAACTCCGATTTGTATTGTATTAAAATTGCTGAAATTGTCATGAACTTTAACCCTTTATACTCTTCCGGTTAAATAAGATTCAAACCACTTATATATAAATCCACGAAAGCCGACCGAATATAATTTATTCAGTAAAATGATATGATCCACCATGTCAAATGCTTTCGTTATATCAACCAAACGACCAGCACAATTCTTTTTATTGTCCAATCCCTGATAAATAAATGAGCAGAAATCTATTAGGGCATCCTCGGTTGAACGGTTAGTCCTAAATACGAACTGCCTTGAGCTAAACAAATTCTTACTATCAAGAAATAATAAAATCCTGCTTTTGAGTGCCTTCTCAAAAACTTTTGAAATCGATGGTAGTAATGAAATTGGCCTATAGTTAGGGTTGCCAGATTTTTCATACGCGAAATCAGTACTTTAGGAGTTTTCATGCTATAAAAATCAGTACTTTTCAGTACACTTTTATTCAAAACAAACTTATAAATGTAAGTAACAGAAAATACTTTAAATCGCTAGAGTACTTGTTTTTAACAATATTTGGGTATATAAATAAAATGTGGTTCATAAAAAATAAAAATATTAAAAATACAAATAAAAATCTTCAGCCTTATCATGAATATTCGGTGAAAAATTTTACCGGCAAAAAATTTCAACAATTTATATTAAGCTCGAGGCCGTTTATTAAATGAAAATTTATTGCGGAAAAGCAACAATAATTTGAAAAAAGTAGGATTCTAACCGACGATCCCACTGACTCAGCCATTCTAAAAATAGAATTATTAGCAAAAACCAACAATACCAACAACCACGTGATCAAGTGAATTGCAGCGGAATAGCTGCGCTTGATTGTGTGGCACAACAAAAAATGAAAATAGTGGAAAAAAGCAAACGATAATTTACAAGGCGTACTTAGCACGGTGCATAGGCAACTGGCGGAGTCAGTGGGATCGTCGGTTGGAATCCTACTGAAAGAAGTCTGATGAGGAAATGTGGTGATTTCCGAAATAGCTATCACTTCTACCATTTTTTCAAATTATTGTTGCTTTTCCACAATAAATTTTCATTTAATAAACGGCCTCGAGCTTAATATAAATTGTTGAATATAATTGTTATAAGGCCAAAAAAAATAACAAAAACAAATAACTTAAGGACGAGTACACCTAAAAGTTAAACATTCTAAAAATAGAATTATTAGCAAAAACCAACAATACCAACAACCACACGATCAAGTGAATTGCAACGGAATAGCTGCGCTTGATTGTGTTGGCATAACAAAAAATTAAAATAGTGGAAAGAAGCAAACGATAATTTACAAGGCGGACTTAGCACGGTGCATAGGCAACTGGCTGAGTCAGTGGGATCGTCGGTTCGAATCCTACTGAAAGAAGTCTGATGAGGAAATGTGGTGATTTCCGAAATAGCTATCGCTTCTACCATTTTTTTCAAATTATTGTTGCTTTTCCACAATAAATTTTCATTTAATAAACGGCCTCGAGCTTAATATAAATTGTTGAATATAATTTTTATAAGGCCAAAAAAAATAACAAAAACAAATGACAAAAAATTTCGTTCAACGAATCGGTTCACTTCATCATGAATGTGGAACAATTTCTGGTGAAAGGCATTTCACGTAGAAATTCATAAGGCTAGTTAAGGTGGTTATTCATTTCAACTTAAAAAAGGAAAAGGTTATCAATTCGTCGGAATATTTATTTTTTATGTAACTATGAAACTTTGGATCGTGTGAACCGATTTCGATTTCATAGCAAAGGTGGTACCTCAAGGGTGGCCCCATACTAATTTGGTTTATTCATTTGATCAAGAAGAAATTAACGCTACTCCTAAATTTCTATATGAGTTAACTTTCAAAAACTTTTTCCATTCTTCCTAATACATATAATCGTGGTACAAAGCTCAATAACAACATTAAAAATAAAAAATATTTTAATTAGAAGTCGGTCTCTCTTTGAGCCAAGAAGCAAACTTTATACTTAAGATCCTCTCAGTTGCTTCGTTTGAGTGTTGTATTGAAGAACTGTGGAAGCGTACAGTATATTTTGCTTAGCTGCACGTCCTTCTTTGCCCGAAAAACTTGTGCACTTAAACGAAAAAGGCACTTAAGCGATTTTTGTTTACTACTTCAATGAGGAAGGTATCCGAATCTTTATGAAACCAAATAATGGTATCTAATTATCTACATATATAACTACATAAATTGATAGCCATTTTCGATGTTCTGCGAGATGAGCAAAATAAATAAAAGCTTGAAAAATTAGGTAATTGTAGGGCCTGTGCAGGTAAACGTAACACTTTCTTTGATAATTGATACTAGTTGCACAATTTTAAAAGCAGGTATCGCCAATGTGCAGGTATGTTGAATGCATGCATTGTGCACTTAAGCATAAAGGCAGCAAAGCAAAATGTACTGTACTACTATTTAAAGACCCCATCCAAATTTCCTCACGGCTAAAATTACTTTGTTCAACTGCGCAAAAACTTTGAATGGCTAAGAATTCGCTAGACAAGGAGTATCTAAGACAGCGAGATGTCTTGTATGCAAAACTCTTACAATTTCAGATAATTTGAGAACAAAGAACTGTAATGCCGAATTTCCACTAGGCATTGAAATGACAAAAAATTTGTGCCTTTTAAAAAAATTCCATGTAGAAATGAACTTAATAATTATTTTTTAATGTAATGACACAATTATTTTTTAATGCCCGACTTTGTCATTTGTCATTTTTGCCATTTATTGCCTAGTGGAAATCCAGCATAAGTTGTAGGCAAAAGCCATTAAATAATTCAAATTTTGGTGTTATTAAACTGAAAGTTATTTTCGAGATAACTAACAACCCTCGACAAAAGTGACGTCAGCCACCTTTTGAAATAAATTATCCTCCTCAAGTATGTACGTATAGACTCGGCGATATGCCCATAAAATCATTGCTCTTTTTATCGTTTTAATTTATTGCGCATATCAAACATTATCTGAAATATGTCAACTATAATTTAATTATTTTCTTTTACTTTTTAGATTACGGCTTAAGAAACTAGAGCGTTATGTAAAAACCTAAAATAAATCTTAAAATACATATTTTGTTTGTGTAAAATAATATTACACAAACAAAATACATGGGAAAAATTACTATGCACGGAGTACCGGTGAGAAGACCCGTATCATAAATTTGTATGCTCAGAACTTAAAATTCAGTACAAATCAGTACAAACTTTGAAAAATCAGGACATTAGCGTACTGATTGAAGAAATTAATAAAATCAGTACGAGAGTTGAAAAATCAGTACTGTACTGATAAAATCAGTACGTCAGGCAACCGTACCTATAGTTATTTTTATCTTTCTTATTACCCTTTTTAAATAAAGGAATAATAGTTGTACATTTCAAATTATCTGGGAAAATTGCTGAGAAGACACTCTTATTGAATAAATTTTCAGAATTTCTAACAAGTTAAGAGTAACGTTTTTAAGCAGTTGGTTCGAAACACCATCATGCCCACAAGAACTAGAGTTGTTGAGGTTATTGATTATAGACAATATCTCCGAGCCTGAGAAAGTTTCAAATAAAAAGCTGTTTTTAGAATTAAATATATTGTTATCCGACATGACACACTTACACGGTGAAAATTTGCATTTCCCGACTGATACAAAAAAATCATTGAA